TTTGGTCATCAAGCAAATACATGTTTGCAGCATTATGTTCCATTATGACAACATTTGTGGAACTGACAAGGGTTTAAATAGGATGATGCACTGTTCCTAAATGGTTTTAATTTTAAATATGTTCGAAATTGCCTATTTAATGCTATTGGTATTTTTATTACATTTTAATCTAGTTTGATTTTTTAAAACTGCCTTGCTACCCAATTCAAAATGGAAAAAGAAAGAGATAAATAAAGTGACTCATAATAGCCAGAATCACCTGGTTTCTTTGCTGCACTTGGTATCTGTATTCATCACCTACCAGCCTTCCAAGAATATTGTATAATTTCAATATTTATTTTTCTGTCTTCTCACAGTCTCTTTTTTATGCAACGTAAGTCAGTGGATGGTGTTTAAAAAGGATGGTTTCTTGTATAGATTTGGGTTTTTTAAAAGCTGGATTTAACCTTCAAACTAACATCCAGCCAAGTAATCCTGCAGAACAAGCAGCTGAACCCTTCTGAGGACACATGCTGTAGCAGCCTCTTCTAATGCATTACACTGAGACTTTTAAAAGTGTAGTATAAATTCATTTACTCTTAATACAGAATGTGACTTCCAGCCATAATTAGAAATGCAGTATCTGAATATACCTGGTATTTTCTGATACTAACAAAATTATCTTTTTGGTAACTTATCTGAAGTAGATGCTCTTCAGGACCACTGCCTGAAGCTATCTTATCTCAATCAAGCCTTTGAATATTTAGTCTTTGGCAACCTATTACAATTTATTTCTCCCAGGTACTTCACCTTTTCTTGTAATGTTTCCATCTTCTCTTCTATTTTCCTGAGATAATTTAGCTACGACATCCCTGTTGTTTCAGAAGTACATTTAAGCATTCATATTCGGCTATCTATTTTTAGCTGTCAGGTAGGAGACCCATTTCAGAAACATGTTTACACTCTGCTGCATCCACAGCACAGGAAAAAAATTCAATGCCTTTTTATAATTAAAGGTAATTTTATCCAATTTAGTTTATAATCTTTCTAAAACCCAATTAAAATATAACAACCTCAAATGTCTTTCTGCTGATGATTCAAAAGCTGAATTACTTAATTAAGAAGGAAATAGAAAAGTACCAGCCTTATTTGGCCACCTAACACAAAGGCACTAGGTAATGGAAAAATGTCAAGTTATGAACACTGTGCAATACTAACAAAGGAACTCTTTTTCTAGTCCATTCATTAACTTTTTTTCTAATGGGCTTATGAACACTCCTACGATGTTGTCAAGATCTGAGGTTATGCTCTCTTTTAGTTTTCCCTACTCATTCAGTGAGTGGATAAATGTAGTCTTATCAACTGTCTTGTTCACAGAAGGCAAAGATAAACCAGGAATCGTGACTTGCTTAATGTGTAAATGCTGCCATTATGTGATTTCACTGGAATGTTGCACTCAATATAATTGTCACCATTTCGTGACAATTTTCACCCAGAAAATCAAAGAAAATTCCTTAGCCATTGATTATTGTTCCTCAATAGGATATATAGGGTTTTGTTTATAGGCTGATTCATAGTTCACAGATCATCAAAATTACAAAGCCAGATACTGAATTATTTATTACAGCAACCGAACAAACAACATCTGGTTAAGAGCAAGGGGTCAGTGAAGCTGTCCAGTAGCCTCCAACTCTATAATAACTGAGAGCACAAACAGCATATTAGAAATATGTTGAAATGTAAAAAGCCAAACAAAATAATAGTTTCTCAGGAAACAAGCCTATTTATTGAACTGTCCTTGTGCCAACAATAGAGCCAAATCTCACAGCTCCAGTTTATACACTTCTATAAACCAGCTGATATACGTGATAATTGTAATATGATGTTCGTTTTCTGGGAGACACTACAGTATCTGATGACGTTCCTACTCCCATGTATGTAAGATTTTAGTTAGATTATGCATTAGCCTTGTTGGAAACCACTTTGAATCCCATGTCAAGAGAGAAGCGGGATATACAGGCAGTTGTCAATTTATGTTTCAATTCCTGTTCGTTTGGTTTTTTTAAAAAAAAGATCTTTATTTCTCAATTTTATAACATAGGACTGTGTTGAGGGAACATCCCTCCCTTACCAAAATGCAGGTGAGCTATTAATTTAATTTACAGGAAGTCACCAAGCTGCAAACATCCGATTTACAAACAACTCATAGTTAAGAATGAGGGTGAGACAACAGGAAGTGAGAAATCTACCCCTCAGAAGAAAAATTCACTCCTGAAAGAGTTATCATGGGGAGAAAGTGTCTCCACTGAAGCTTTATCACCAATCCTCATTTCCACAACAAGCCAAAATGCCAACTTTACACCAAAGCTTCAAAATCTGCAATAGGACAATTCAGTCCTTCAAAGGAACATCACTGTCCCATTGACATGTAAGTCAACCTGCTGCCAGTGAATCAAAGGCTGGTATCCTAACCCTGACTAGCTATCTGAACGCAAAATCTATAGCTTTCTCCATGGATTTCTAGTGCTGGTGCTTTGCTTCTAAAGTGTTGCTAAAGTTCTGGTGGTGAAAATTTCAGAATTCTAACAAAACTTTCATTTTTTATTATTATTTCGTTATTGGCGATTTTTATGACAGAATCAATTAGAAACTACCATTGATAACGAAATTTTGAAAGTTTTGTTAGAGTTCTGAAATTTTCGCCAACATAACTTTAACAACACTTTAAAAGCAAAGCACCAGCACCCCCTAGTTTTGTAAGTACTTTAGAACTATTTAGAACCATGGATTGCCCATGCCTAGTATCAGCACCTTATCATCAGTGTTCTTACATAAGTTTCCTGATATTAAACACAGACAAACGGTGTGCTGAAATAAAAGATGCTTGTTAATAGCATGTATATGGAAAGATTCAATGCAATATATCTAGCACAATATTGTTTGCCTGGTGAATCACCTGATTAGCTAATTACAACCTTGGCACATATGCCTATTGAATTCTTCTCAGTGCTATTTGAGCATATTTAAGCAAATGTTAATTTTGTTGATTAGATACCTAGAAGCAAATAATTTATATCTCTGAACAGTTTGTGTTTTTGCATATCAGAACTATCCAGAAAAACCTGCAGCAGAGTTATCAAGTTAATAAGGTTAAGTTGTGCAGCAATGTATCAGAAAGTGGCTGGTATAAACTGACAATAAAAGGTGGAAAATGCATCAATCTGTTACATAGCCTTCATTTCAGCAAGGGAAAGACTAAAAGGAGCTTTTAAAATCCACTCATGTTTCTACAGAATCAACTAATTAGTTTTAAAATGTATTGGCGAAGACTTTCATGGCCAGAATCACTGGGTTGTTGTGAGTTTTCCGGGCAGTATGGCCATGTTCCAGAAGCATTCTCTCCTGATGTTTCGCCTGCATTTCTGGGAGACATCCTGAGAGGTTGTGAGGTTTGTGAGGTTGTGAGGTCTAATACTTTTAGAATTTTGCAAACTGCTTTTCAAAAGTCATTATCTTGATGTGAGGACAGAATGTGTATGTATATGAAAAGATTGGAAGAGTGAGATTTCTATTTTATTTAAGAAGAGAGATTTGGTTAGGGTCTTGTTCAAACAATCCAGCAATTCCAATAGCTTTGTGTTCAAGCCAGTCAAACAAACTATGATTTCTGTAATGGTAAATATCTTCAAACGAGAACTGTAACAAAAGACATGAACTGAATCTTTCTTGCATGCATCTAGTCTATCTTCCACTTCCCCATACCCATTCATAACACCCAAAATAAGTGTAATATCATCAACTACAAGCTCTTTAATCTAATTCCTGTTAATCAGGAGGTGAAGATATGTCATTTTTTCTCATTTGTGCATTCATCATTAGGTGGAATTCGGGACGGTTAATTTTTCCACTCTGGCATCACATCCATATTAACATCCTCTGCTACTTTAAGACATTCCACATGTTTTGAAACTCAAAAATTTGCAAAGCAGCAGCATCACAACAGGAAATGGTACAGAAGTGTATTCTGTTCATCCCCAGAGCAGAAGTGTCTTCTGTCCTCTGTTCATCCACAGAGCAGATGGAGATGATCAGAAACAGTGTCAATCTGAAGGTAGGAAGCAATGTCCAGGAAGGAATGTCAAAAAGTGCTGGAAAAAGTGCACAGGGTCCTGTCAAACTACCTAATTATAGGGCTATGGTTCAACTTTAACTGCAATGGTTCCATCCTATGAAATCTTGGGATCTGCCTCAATATAAAAAGGTTTTAGCCACTGAAAAGGAAGGCCCGCTCTTTTGTTCCCACCAACCGAGCTTGGGATCTCAGGGTATCCTTATAGGAGGAGATGTGGTCTGCCAAACAGCCTGGACCTGAACCATGTAGAGCTTTAAAGGTCATAACTAGCACTTTGAATTGCACTCAGAAACAAACTGGCAGCCAGTAGAGCTGCTGCAACAGGGAGGATGTGTGCTCCCTGTAGTCAGCCCCAGTTAACAATCTGGCCACAGCTCTTTGAACCAGTTGAAGTTTTCAAACACTCTTCAAGAGTCACTTCTGATGTGAGATAATTGACTGCCTGCAAAGACGTTGCCCAGGGGATGCCTGGATGTTTGATGTTTTACATTCTTGTGGAAGGCTTTTCTCATGTCACCACATGGGGAGCTGGAGCTGACAGAGGGAGCTCAACCCACTCTCCACAGATTCGAACCACTAACCTGTTAGTCAACAGTCCTGCTGGCACAAAGGTTTAATCCACTGTGATACCAGGGGCTCCTAAGTGTCTGAATGGGATCCATCCATTAGCATGTGAGTAACTGAGAAGGATAAACAGCAGCATTTTTTGGGTTGAAGTAAAACCAAAAAGGCCTCTCCTTAGGATCTCAAGTATCAACTAGGCTTATGTATGGAAAGGCAGTCTCTCCTGTATCATTTTCTCTTTATTTCTGATACTTGTTAAATAATGCTTGTATCATATTTTATTGTCTTATGATAGGAATGGTGTTATTTTGTTCAATAAACTCACCAATGAAATAGTTGTTTCCTAACGTAAGCATCTCCTCCGTCAGGACAAGTCCACCCATTGCTTGGAGAAGAGTAACACTTGTGGCATCTATAAGTGAGCACTGTTTAAATCTGTCTGTTGTCACTTTCCATAGCAAGATAAGAGAAGCAGTGGCATCTTGCCTGATACTAAAAACAAAAAAGAAATTTAAGCCACTAAACACACCATATGGAGGAAAATGTTTTAAAAGTCATAGCATACAGCACATCACTCAAGACATTGAAACAGCACATATTATTGGTAGCATGAATTCAGGGTCAAAAGATGAATAATTCAGGGAAACAATGATTAAATATACTGTATTTCACCAACTGTCAAATTCTCAGACAGGAGGAGTTGAAGACAAAAGGATAGCAAACACTTAAAACTAAAACTTTTAACACATATATCTTGGGGAAAGTCCCAATGAAAACCATGTCTAGGATCCTGTTGTGTCCTATGCCGTAGTAACTACACTGGCAACTGTGGAAATAGCAGGAGAAAAAAGGCCACTGAACGTTCAGTTGTGCAGGAGGTAAGGCACTGGAAAAACAGACTATTAGAAATCGAAAATCTGGTCTGTCTTCTCTCTAGGATGGAAAAAATATTTGAAAATACTGGGGAAGTGGTAAAAAAAATTAGAATGTTGGCTGACACTGATAGCAAAGATCCTGAAAGGGAGTTTTCAAAATTTCCTATTTTTAAAAATTAATGTAATGGTACTAAACACATTCTGAAGTGGAGGGAGGTGATAAAGTCACCTAATTCACAAAACTGGATTTGAATGCTCAACTCTGGCTTTCAATGCATGTGAATTTAACTGGGTTTGTGGTGCTGAATAAAGGTTGCCAACTTTTTCTTTACTCTGAGATTCCTCAAATTTATATGCTTGATGCTTGTTTATTACTGTTAGGCTGTTTGTGTGTTTTTTTTAAATTTGTAACTTGCTGTTGTTTTGTTTTTAATTGCATATTGCCTGGGCTTGGCCCCATGTAAGCTGCCCTGAGTCCCCTTGGGGAGATGGAGGCGGGGTAGAAAAATAAACTTCTTCTTCTTCTTCTTCTTCTTCTTCCTTCTTCCTTCTTCCTTCTTCCTTCTTCCTTCTTCCTTCTTCCTTCTTCCTTCTTCTTTCTTCTTCTTCTTCTTCTTCTTCTTCTTCTTCTTCTTCTTCTTCTTCTTCTTCCTCCTCCTCCTCCTCCTCCTCCTCCTCCTCCTCCTCCTCCTCCTCCTTCTTCTTCTTACATAGCAGACATGGTCTTCTCCAAACTGGGAGGAGCTGTATCTATTGAATTTCAGAGGTTCAGCTGGTGTAATGGCTTGACATTTGGATTCTGATGATGGAGGCAAGGTACAAATCCCTGCTTATGGCACTTCCAGAGAGCACCAAATCGCAAGTTTTAGTCAATGACAAAAAAACCTGGAACTTGATCCACATACAGACCTGTAGGCCGGGATTTCTGCCTCCATCATCCATTCTTGCTGCTTTGTCCTGGGATTTTGCACCCCCTAAAATGGCTGCTGCAGGACGTCTGCCGAAGATTTCGGCGGTTTATTTTTAAGAAACTTAAGATGTGAATATGTGAATATGCGAATCATTGTATGAGTTCCGTTCCTGGGTTATAGAGACTGTGTGGCCATCTTTGCAGACAGGTTTGGCCATGTCCTTGTGCCTGGGAAATACAGGATGAGGTTCCTGGGTTATACATGTCTGTTCCTCGTTGCTTTTATCATAACAACATAGGGAAAGTTGATTACATGGCAAAACCTTGGTTTGTGTGTCACAAACTCCATTAAACATGTGGAGGATGAAGTTTATCTTGCCAAGATAAAGCTTTCACCCTCTAGTCAACTGTTGCCATGTTTTTAGGATACAACCAATCTGGGAACAAACCAACATAAGAAATCCAGTGTTTTCTCAGTACAGGGACATAAGAGATTCAAATATCCGCATTTTCTGGCTGGAACCAGGATATTCTTGCTTTGTAGCAATTTCTCCCACGTTTTCAGGGAACGGCATTTTCAGGCAACAGCCACCTTTCATTTTGAAGTGGGAGCTCCTGGGATAAAGGTACTGGCTGGACAGACCATTAGAGATAGAATCCCAATGGATGACCTTAGTAAAGTCACTTTCTCAACCTCAGAGGAAGACCAAAGCAAACCCTCTCTGAATGTATTGTGCCAAGAAACTCTATAATAAGTTTTCTAGGTTCACCACAAGTCATAAATGACTTGAAGGCACAATAACATCTAGTTTGGTTTTGATGTGAACAAGTTTCACAATATTTACAAGACTAGAAAAATATAAATGTTAGAGAAAATTAAGCTGGCAGATACACCCATCCCTAAATCCAATCCAACTGGATAGTTATTTTTTCTTTAATTTTTAAACTTATTTGAGTGGAACATTTAGGTACACCAAGTGGAAGACAACACTTTTAAGAGCCTGCAAGGATCCTAATATAAAGCTTTTTCCTTGTGCTTCTGCAAAATACTGTTATCATTTTAGAGGGGGGAAATCATGTTTCAGATTCAATAGTCCACATTATTTAAAGCACATGCAGATAATGGCTCCAGCATAGGGCAGTTTCTTACTTTATTGATGTATTTTGTGGAACTTCAAAAGAGATAAGGCGACCCCCACCAGTATTATTGGAGCTGGCATTTCCACAGGCCACGTCAGGAATAATCTAAAACCAAGAATGAACTTTGGTTATAACTTTCCATAGAAAAAATATATTTTTGAAACAGTAAAGCAATTGGGGGGGGGGGGGAGCTGAACATTGCATTAATGTATTTAACATGCAATTTTTGAAAAAATGTAAATAGCATTGCTGAGAGATTGAGTAGGTATTGGACCCTGATGCCATGGAAACATATTGTTCAACCTTTCTCTCTCTTGCCATAGCCCCAGCTAAAATTGCTATCCATAACAAGGTGCTGAGGGGAACGATCTGTTTTGAAAAGATAACTTCCTGTGGCTATAGAAATGTATTCTTACTAAAGAAAGAAACCTATCTTTCCAAAAGGTATCAGTCAACTGCTCAAAAAACCGTAAATGGATTTTCATATCGTAGAGTGTTAGATACCTACAAGATTGTACAGTGGCTTTTCAAGCAGCAGGTAATGAAAGCTCATGGGATTTCAACAGCTGTAACAATTGATACCATCTCTTAGCTATGCTTACATTCGCATTCAGTTTCAGCGAATCACAGATAGCAACGCTTTGCCACCTGATCTCAAAAACAAAGGTGACTGTTATCAATTTTTCACAGTGATAGAAAGCTTTCCGCACAACTAAACAGAGCCATGGCTACCTGAAACGGGGAGAAATATGTATGTACTTCTCAGGTGCATTTTATAATGGATCGACTCTAGCTTTCAGGAAATGGTTCTTCATCAGCTATTTTCGGCAACACACTACCAGATCTTACCTCCACTTCATCCCATTTTAGATCCACAACTTTCTGACCTTCTTTTGGCTCCCATGTAGGCAGCGTAACAGTTGGATGAGATCTTGGTAGGACAATGTCAGGCTCCACGGTGGTTGGTACTGGGCTGCTTTGGCTTAGTGCCTCTGACTCTGTCCACCCAGACACCGGCGGACTATAAAAAGAGTGTTCACAATTTATACCTTCATAGCCTTCGTTACAAATGCAGAGATAGCCATCGCTGTTACTACTGCAGTTGCCATGGTGACAAGGATTGCTCGCACATGGATCTGAAACAAACTGAACAGAAATAAAATGGATCGATTAATGTCATAGCATAACATTTCTTTCTTCAAATACACATGACAATGGATTTAAAAATGAAATGTATTACAGGGATTACGCTGTTCACATTTCGATGAACTGGTTATCTGATAGTAGTGACATAAGAGCGCAATGAAGCAAACAAAAATGGAAATATTGAAATGCTGGTAAAGAAGTATGGTGATAGCATCCCCTTGGAATAATAAAATGTTGGATAGAGCTTTAAAAACCCATGCTGTGCCATGTTTATGAACCAAGGATAAGTTCAACTGGATACTGTGCCCTCCCTTGGTGGAGTTAATAGCATCCAACACCAACAACTGAGGGATTATCTTACACAAGCATTCATGATATGACTCCATCGATACTCTGCTCTCTCAGTAACCCCCAATTACTGTCTTACATAGCTTGAATTTTGGATAAATAAGTAATGGGTTTCTTTTGTATTCAAGTACTCCATTTTCAAAACCTGTGTTGATAAAGCACGTTCAATTCAACCTCTATTCTGTTTTATTGGTAATTTAATAAACTATTTTTGAAATGCCGTATTTACATCAGCATGAGTTTACTACTGTCCTTTTGGTTAAAGGATAATTCAACAAATATAGTTTCACCACCTTTCACTAAATTGGAGAATAATGGACTGTGCTCCATAATATCCTTCTTTGGAAAGGTTCTGGAACACCTGAATGTCCTTCTTAGGGGGAGACACTGTGAAGGTGTTATTGGGCAATGCCTGTTTGCCATTATGGCCATATTGGCCTACAGAGTCACCTAGGCTAATTTTCTTCCCATTCTGGTTACCATAGACCTGAAACTTCCAGGTTCTACACCACCAGTGGTCTGATGAAACTCACATCTATATTCCTATCATGCCCCATGAAGGCTCTCACTGTTTACCCCTAGTGAAGCCCTTTTTAGTTAGAGGGATTAATATGTACAGTTTCTGGGGGGTCAGTCTAGATAGCCTTTTTGCATTTGAAGTCTCCATCACCCTGCCCCTTTAAGAATCCCTTCAGGGGGCAGAGCCTCTGGCAAGGCACTTCTGGTTCTTGGAAGAGTCAATCTTTTTTGTGACTGGAAGGTGAAGCGAGAGAAAGGCTGGAGGGTCTACAAATATTACATCCAGTCGAGCTGTATGAGCTGTATCCAAGTCCAGTCAGAGCTGTATGAGCTATATTTGAATCTAGTTGGAGCTGCATTCAAGTCAAGTCAGAGTTAAATATTGAGACCATCTTAGAGACAGTTGAACACCATACAAGAAAGAGACAATAAGAAGAAATACAGATTCAAGTACCACAGTTCAGTCTCTTAAAGACTTTACCTCTCCTCATAAATACTTTGTAGTGAGCCTCAGGAGGAGAGAAATTCTAAAATTCTTGTCAGTTAATAAATTCTTGTTCCATTCAACTATATAGTCTCCAATCTGTTCCCTGCACAGCCAGTTCACCTTCCAAGTAGTTAAGACAACGTGGGGGCAGAACAATTCCCTTTTTATTAAATTCCATGGAAGCTCTTCTGTTACTTAAACTAGTGTCTACAGTCACTAATGAATTGGATAAGGATGAACAAATTAATCTAGACAAACAGAACTGAACCTGCTTAATCAAAGACAGAAATGAAAATAGGGATTCATCTCTGGGCTAAATGAAGTTGCATGTCCACCTGTAAACCTAGATGCCCAGAATTACTTTATATGCAGGCAATCCCTGAGTTACACACCTCCGACTTATAAAGAACTCATATTTAATAACGGGGCTGAAACAACAGGAAGTGAGAGGAATCTATCTCTTAGAAGGAAAATTCAGTCCTGAAAGAGTTATCATGGGAAAAGGGTGTCTCAATGGAAGCTTTATACCCAATCTTTGTTTCTACAACAAGCCATTTTTTCAAAATCCAATTATCACAGGTATAGAAAGTGAGGTGAAGCCTTCTGAACAGGGGCACAGAGAGCAAAACAAACACCACAGGGGTGTTAGCGCTTCCCTGTGCTACCCAAAGCTTAACTAGCTTTGGGTAGCACAAGAAATATACCTGTTCCAATTTACAGACAAATTCAACTTAAGAACAAACCTACAGAACCTGTCTTGTTCATAGCTTGGGAGCTGACTATATATATAATCTAAAAGCATAAATCTTTTAAGTTTGCCAAAAATATATACTAATGAGGCCAAGTGCATTATGAGACAATCCAAATGCAACTTTTTTGGCAATCTTTGCTCTCTATTCTAAATAGAAAATTCTATATTTAGAATATAGGACACGATACTGGCATGGAAGAGTCTTGAAGCATGTTGAATCTAACCAGTAAAAATATGTTTTCAGCAAATCCTTGCTAGAATGTCCATTGTCTCTGTTCCAATGATCCTTCACTACTTTCCTTCTATCCAATAGAATCTGTGAAGCATATATATTTGGCTAGAGCCTGGAACGATTAATTTTGGAGTAAAATTCCCATGTTAACTGGTGCTTTGGTGGAACTGTTAGCTCCCCAAAAGCATTTCTGATTCTGGTCACTCTTTTTAGTCTATAACCATTTCTCTGGAAAATCACTTTCTTTCTTTTGTTCAAAAGTCATCATCACAAAGGTTATTTAAAGGACTGATTATTTCTGTCTATCCAAACACATATATCCAACAAAGCTAATTTCCCAGTTCAGAGCTTCAAATGGGCTCAATTTGAAAGTCAAATATGAAACACTTGAGTAGAACTGTTGTCCTGCATAATCTGGGATAAGTAAAATGGAAATAGAAACTTGCCTCTACAGTACAGAATTACCAGATGAAACAGAGTAACAACTTTTCAAACACATACAAAATGCTCCAGATGTACCATTTATATGGACAATTTTCTGAGAGTAGAGAAAGGAGTGGGCCTCCTGGTGGTGCAGCAAGTTAAACCGCTAAGCTGCTGAACTTGCTGACCAAAAGGTTGGCAATTTGAATCCAGAGAACGAGGTGAGCTCAGCTTCTGCCAACCTAACAGTTTGAAAACATGCAAATGTGAATAGATCAATAGGTACTGCTTCTGTGGCGCTCCGTGCAGTCATGCTGGCCACATGACCGGAGGTGTCTACAGACAACGCCAGCTCTTCGGCTTAGAAATGGAGATAAGCACCACCTCTCAGAGTTGGACACGACTAGACTTAATGTCAGGGGAAACCTTCACCTTTAGAGAAAGGAGGCAGTGTGGCTTACGGTTGAAATGTGGTTACATGGCTCAAGAGATGAATTATAATTACCAATTAAGATTTCAGTTCCAAACAAATGTGACACATTCTCATAGAAAACCACAGAAGATTTTCCACAGGGGCTAAAATCTAAAATCATCAGAAATCATGAAAATGATATGGTTCTGTATACTGAAAACCCTTTACCATTTCATAATGAGACAAACAGATTTTGAAATGTGCAGAAATAATATTCAAATAATATGCAAGAAATAGGACTTTCATTGCTTCTTTTCAGCTTCTTGAATGTCACCTTCATACATATGACTGCAGTTGTGTTTAAGGGACTTACATACAGTGAGTCATTTTGAATTGGAAAACCTACCAAACCTGGATATGTATCATTCCAACAGAAATGCTACATTGAAAAAATATGTCTGGGTATAAAATTCAAAAGGGAATGGCAGGGGGTTGGACTGAATGGCCTTTGTGATCTCTTTCAATTGTATTATTCTTTCTTTACATGAATTACAGAAAGAAAACTATCAGATGGAATTTGGAAATGCTCTTTATCAATATGAAAGCCACAAAGATCTACTGGGTAGATATAACTGTTCAGGAGCTTCACATACAGTCTTTTCGCTTCAGACAGCATTTCTCTCAAATATTACAGCTTCTGTCAATACCAATGAATACAAGGCAACATCAATACTGATTAGGATTTTTTGCCAGCTATTGTGCTTTCTTCGCCCCATCAATCCCTCATACAGCTTTGTCATCTTTGTTCACATTCACTTTCAAAGACACAGGTTTTGACATTGGTTTGCACTGATTACATCTTCCTGCCAGGAGATTATTCTCAACCTAAATCCAATTACTAAATATCAAGTAAATCATAGCCAGAAATAATCATCAAGGGCTACAAATTGGCAAAGTCAAAAGGAAAACTCTACAACTACAGTAACAAAATAACCATTTTTAAAAAATCAAGGTCTTCAACATGCTTCCGACGGTAACTAGATGCATCTTATCAAAGCACCGTTGTAGGAAGAGACTATGATTCTTTATTTATGATTTCTTAACTTTGAAGCTAGTCTACTGAAGGAAGTGGAAGATGAGGGGAAAAGAAGAACAGATATATGTAATCACCCAAAAGAAGAATATATATAGAACTCAGGGTTCTGTCCTGGCCCTGGTCCTGTTCAACAACTCTATTAATGACTTAGATGAAGGGTTAGAAGGCATGACCATCAAGGTTGCAGACAAAACCAAATTGGGAGGGATAACCAATACTCCAGAAGACAGGAGCAGAAATCAAAACAATCTGAACAGATTAGAGATGGGCCAAAACTAACAAAATGAAGTTCAATGGGGACAAATGCAAGATACTCCAATTAGGCAGAAAAAAAATGAAATGAAAAGATACAGAATGGGGGACGCACGGCTCGACAGCAGTACGTGTGAAAAAGATCTCAGAGTCCATGTTAAACAGGAGCCAACAATGTCATGCAGCAGATTAAAAAGCCAATGGGATTTTGGCCTGCATCAACAATGTCTAGATCTGGGGAAATCATGCTACCCCTCTATTCTGCCTTGGACAGATCACACCTGAATACTGTTTCCAATTCTGGGCACCACAATTGAAGGGAGATGTTGACAAGCTGGAATGTGTCCACAGAAGGGTGACTAAAATGATCAAGGGTCTGGAGAAGAAGCCCTATGAGGAGCGGCTTAAAGAGTTGGGCATGTTTAGCCTCCAGAAGAGAAGGTTGAGAGGAGACATGATGGCCATGTATAAATGTGTGAA